AATTTTAATTTATCTCACCTATGTACCATCTATATATTAAGATTTTTTAAAACGTCTATAATACTTTTAATATAAATTTACATTTAGTATAATAATTAAATTATCATTATTTTCTTTACTATCATTAATTTGTCATTAATTATTATTTTTGATCTTATGTCATATAATAAGAGACAATTCTCTTTAATTTTTTAACCCACCTCATCCATATATCATACAATTTAAACTTAAAAATTCTTATTAGTTATTTCCAACAAAAAAAAAAATCATTACTAAATTATTTAAGTTATTAGTTGTCATTAATCAAACTTGAAGAACTGTTGAAAATCCTAATATGAGGGAAACAAAGAACTTAAACATGTTGCTAATCTTTTGGGTTAATAAAGTCAACCAGTGACAAGTGAAGAATCCATGCCCTCGTTGTAAATAAGTAAATAGGCATAATTATGCTCACTAGTAGAAATGTTATGGTCACCAATAAAAATATTATGATTGTTAAAATTATAAAATATTATTTTAAAAATATTAATTTTATTTAATTTAATTGATAAAAATAATTAATAGTTATGATTATTAATTAATAATTAATATTTATTAGTTAATATGTTAAAATAAATTAACAAATTATTATTTTTAGACACTTTTAAAAAAACTAAAATTTTAGTAATTTTACATTTTTTATGATGATAATAACCATATCTAAATTATAAGGTATACTTTCTCTTAATTTTGTTATGTTCAAGAAAAAAAAATCATGATTTGCTCAAGAAAGAATCCATATTGATTCATATTTTTGATGATATGCAGAAAGAAAACCAAATGTTTTTTTTTTTTTTGGTACATAGAAAACCAAATGTTAAGCCTTCCAAAAACATTCTTTTAAATAAATTTTAAATTAAAAAAAGTAGTAATAAGATGAAGGGAGTATTAATTCTCTATTCCCTCACTGAACCGGTCCTACCTCGAAGGAAAAGAATAATTGATCTTCCGCAAATCCGCCCACCAATTTGACCCTCTCGAACTCCAACACTCTTCACACCCTTCCTCGCGTTCCATTCCATTATTTTGCTATCAAAAGATTCAAAATTCTTTTCCAAGCCCCAATTCCTCCCTTAAAATTGTCCATCCCTAATTTCCCCAATAACGCACAATTAAATAATTCCAAATTCTTCACTTCTATCCCTCACTAGATCTTTCATGCATCTACATATATAAAACTTTCCAAACCATCCACGCAATCTTCCTCGAGTTCTCACCAATTCATTCCCTCAAAGAAAACCGTTTTTTTAGATAAATATATTGAAATTACTTTATTTGATACAATAAATTAATTATGATATATACTTTTATGTCATATAATTTATTAATTAATGTATTTAACTTATTATTGTTATTTTTAACTTTAAAAGTTAAATTTATTAACAAATAAATGTAGTATCATAAATTAAGAATTCAAGTTTTGAGATATAAATACTAAAAAATTAATTTATTTAAATATTTAAATACATTACATTGATATAAATGCATGTCATTAAGATAAACTAAAGAGGGATTAGTTGCACTAAGGGCCTGTTTGGTACAGCGGTTAAAATTCAGCGGATAGTGGTAGCGGGTGGCGGTTAGCAGATAGCGGGTGGCGGATAGCGGAAAGTAGGTAGCGGATGGTAAATAGCGGATTCGATAAATATAACTGTTTGGTTATACAATAGTTAGCGATTGTTATTTAACATTAAATGACTAATAAGAACATGTTTAAAAACAAATAAATATATTTTTTAAAATATTTTTATTTTTTATTATTAAAATTATTAATTTAATTAATAAAAATAATTAATAAGTATAATTATTAAT